GAGAGGGCCAGCCTCAGTAGAAATCCATTGGTCCATACCAGAATTGGAGAGCCATTATAAGAAAATACATTTATGAAACTGTCAAAAATATTTAGAAAAACAAAAACTTACTCAAACTCAACAATCTTGAAACAATCACTGTGCACATAATGATGATGATATTAATTTTCCAACATATGTACTTGTATGCATGAACTACATATATATTTTAATTGGGGTTTCAATTATATATCATTTTGTAATGTTTTCTTTAGCAATTACTTTATATGTAATAGGTCGGTTAGCACAACACTCATTTTTAATGCCCTCATTTCCTTTCTTCCTTTACTATAGGAAGGTTATAGAGGTTAAGAAGCTAAAGATGTAATTTCCTTAAGTTTCTCTTAAAACTAAGGGTGGTCATATGACTCATTTCTGGTCAGAAAATGTGAGCACCTTGGGCTGGAAGGGTGACTTTGTGAAAAACTTTAACATTCTTTAGTATTATGTTACTAATTTGATGACTGGAGATGTATCAGTCAATCACATTCCTAACTGAGAATAATATAGGATATTAATATAGGATCATTTACATTTTCTTTAACATAATTTTAAATGATTTTAATGTTATTTCATTTTGTGAAGATTTAATACTTTATCAAATTAACTAGTAATGTACATTATGTCCAATTTCTGTTCTGTGATAAATATTATAGTACACCCTAATTATGTAAGAACTGTATTCCTAGAAGTAGCATTGCTGGAAATTTTAAGGCTTTGGTGTACTGTCACATTCAAATTCTAGAAGGTTGTGCAACCTTATACAACTATCAAAACCATGTATGAGGAAGTACTATCTACTTCCCTTGTGGATGTAATTATGTTTAAACCCTTGATTTATTCTTAAAAATTCCTATTTTTTCCTCTTTTTTATGGCAGAGGAATTCAGCATCCATCTTTCTCTTCTCACACCCTCAGATTCTAAAAGATACATGCTCAGAATGCTCTCCCATTTTGTATATATGTATAATCATGGTTGCTCTCTCATTTTCTCAGGGTCTTTGCTTTTGTCACCATCTAAGGGAGCTCACTGCCCTCTCTCCCAACCACCATATTTAAAATTGGATTTCTAACACTTCCAGCCCCTTCCTGCTTTGATTGCCTGTCTCCCCCTCTAGTATTAAGTTCTATTGAGGACAGGTTTTTTTTTCCTTTTTCCTGTTTTGTTGACTGCTGTATCTCAAACACTTAGAACAATGCCTAGCATATAGGTGAGGCATCCTCAAACTACTGACCGTGGGCCACAAGCAGCCTGCCTAGGACATTTATCTAGCCCACTGGGTGTTTTTGCCTAGGACATTTATCCAGCCCGACGGTTGTTTATGCCAGCCGCTGCCTGTCCTGCTTAGCAGCCGACTTGTCCCAGGGCCCGCAGTCCAGCCCTCCGACAGTCTGAGGGACAGTGAACCGGCCCCCTATTTAAAAAGTTTAAGGACCCCTGATAGGTGATCAATATTACTTAAGTAAGTGTTAAATAATTTAATTTATGGATATATACCCCTTCATTTTTTTATACTGAAAAAGACCTAAAAAACGGTTTAAAAAAATTTTTTTGAGACAGTCTCACTATGCCATCCTTGGTAGAGTACTGTGGTGTTACAGCTCACAGCATCTTTCAACTCTTGGGCTTAAGCGATTCTCTTGCCTTGGCCTCCCAAATAGCTGGGACTACAGGTGCCTGCCACAACACCCGGCTATTTTTTGTTGCAGTTGCCCCTGCTGTTTTAGCTGGCTGGGGCCGGGTTTGAACCCACCACCCTAGGTATATGGGGCCAATGCCCTACCCACTGAGCCACAGGCACTGCCCGGTTTAAAATTTTTTTAATTTACTTACACAATAATTTAGGTTAGTGGTTCTCAAAAGTGTTGGCCCCAGCCAGACCAGCAACACGGATGTCCCTGGAAACTTATTTAAAATGCAAATTCTGATCAGTGTGGTAGCGCAAGCCTATAATCCTAACAGTCTGGGAGGCCAAGGTGGGTGGGCTGCTTAAGTTGAGGAGTTCAAGACCAGCCTAAGGAAGAGTGAGACTCCATCTGTACCAAAAATAGAAAAATTATCAGGGCATGGTGGTGCATGTCTGTAGTCCCAGTTACACTGGAGGCTGAGGTAAGAGGATGGCTTGAGCCAAGGAGTGTGAGGTTGCTGTGAGCTATGACACCACAGCACTGTAGCCTGGGGCAACAGTGAGATTCTTTAAAAAAAATGCAAATTCTTGGGTCCCACCCACAAAGTTTTTGATTCAATTAAGTCTGTGATAGGCCACCAAATTTGCATTTTAAAAGTCTGTGTTTTAACGAATTCTTCAGACAATTTTGAGAAACACTAATGTTTGTGTATCATTGGTTTAGACTCTAATCTGTGTGTTTCTTTTCTTTCACTACTTCTAATCATTTTTTTTTGTAGACATAATTTCCTCATTCATAAATGCTAACTTTTAAATCATTTTTTACTGCACAAAATGGCTTTCAGCATTCATTTTCTACTGTTCAGACAAACATATATTTCTGGCTGTTCCAACTATGAGTACTCCAAGAGATATGAATATTCAGCATAGTCATAACCTGCAACTTATTTAACCTTCCAAAAAGTGCAGGTTTTCTACGTAGCTATATAGTGAGTGATGACTCATTGTGTGCATAGTGCAGAAATTCCACTTGGTAAGAAATTACTGATGGAAATGGTTTACATATTGAATTTTATTCCGATGAGAGTAAGTTACTTGGAAATAAAGGCATACTATCCATGACTTGATCTTTCAGCACTTGCACATACACACATATATGGACACATATGAATACACATCCACTTTCAATATAACATTTACATTTTATAATTCTCTGAAAGATCAGGAAGAAACTAGAATGGGAAATATTTTCAACAACGACTTTAATAACATTAATATTTGGGGGGCTAATCATTATGCTAAATTACTACCTAGGTGAAATATTTATTGAGCAGAATTAAACATTACTAGATAAGTCCTAACTACTGACTTGTAGGCTAACTTTGAGAAATAAGTGAGATAATGTAGTGAATGTGTGTGTGTGAAAACAAAATGCCAAATAGTATTACAATATCTTATTAATTTCATAATGATAGTGTATTAAAATTTAGTACAGTGATTTACAAACCATTTTTGTACTTTTGCCTGTTTTTATTGTAACACCTTAAATTTTAAAACACTTCAGATGTACTTTTTATCTACATCTCAAGAGTAAAATAAAAAAATCTAGGGTAAGCAGTGGAAATGGAATTGATTCACAGAATCAGAATAAATGCTTCCAGAATAAATAAATGCTTAAGAATGATTTCGAAGCCAACTCTGGGTGCACTCAAAAAGACTGCAATGATCTATTAAAATTGTCTTCTAAAGCAATAACAGGGAGGGATGACATTCGAACTCCTTGACTGAGGTGTTTGTGTGTTACAGCTTTGAATATGAGATAAAATGGAGAGAATGATCAGACAATCGCTTTCATTCACTTGTGATCAGAATTCACCATTAGTAATAAAAAATGGCAAATGGATGCAACACAGTGATGTTATAGTTTTAACTCACCAGGTTAATGAAAGAACTTGTGCATGATAGGAATGTCCTTGTGATTCAAAACCAAATATATATACCTCAGATTCACCATCAATCATAAATAAGCAAACAAACTTTAAGTACTGTCACACAACATTGTGGAGGAGCTTGATAACAATCCTAAATGTTGATTTATGCATATTAAAAGTATTTTATATTTTTAATTATAAAAATAATCCATGTATATGATAAAATATTTAAACAGCATACAGTAACGAGACATTCTTACTCTCATTTTAGACCCCAATCCTGTACTCCTGTGCCCAAAGGCAACCACCATTAAGTTTCTTTTGTATTATTCAAGGTCTATTTACATACAAATTTATGTGTATATATACATACATACACACAAAGAGAGACAGGTAAAAACACACTCTCCTATTTTTTTTGTAAATAAATAGAAACAGATGACATATGTGTTTAAGCAACTTGCTTTTTTACACTTCACAATATACATTGGACATCATTTCCTACCAGCATATTTGTATCCTTGCTGCTTTTGTTCATTTTCTCTCAATGTTCTGTTAACATTTCTTTTTTCTTTTTTGCAGTTTTTGGCCAGGCTGGGTTTGAACCCGCCACCTCTGGTATATGGGGCCAGCGCCATACTCCTTTGAGGCATAGGCACCACCCCAACATTCCCTAAATAAATAACAACTTTTATAAAGATTTCTGCTGATGCAGAGCTAACATACACATTAAGAAAAAGCTGGGTGATAATATCAAAGGGGAAAATTATACAAATACCCACACTCATCTTGCAAGGCAAAAAACAAATACACAAATTCAATTCTAAAACATGTTACTTAAGTACACAACACCCAGGCAATTGGAAATTGTTCACTATCTGTAACTTATTCCTCCATTGCTCTGATTATTCAGCTTATTAACAACTTTTTGAAGCTTTACACTTCAATCTGAACACATAGAACTTTTGTAATAATTGAGTATTTTCTTTCTATAAAAGTTTTGGTATCAAGTTTAAACCCTTATTTCCATCCATTGCTTTTAGGTGAAGGTCCATTTTCAAATTTTCTCATGTGTGACAAGGTGTAAGTTTTTGCTAAAGACTTTCTAACATTGTTTAAATTCAGAATATTTCCAAAGTTAGGCAGGTGCAGTGGCTCATGCCTATAATCGTAGCACTCTGGGAGGCCAAGTCAGGTAGATCACCTGAGCTCAGGAGTTCTAGACCAACCCGAGGAAAAGTGAAACCCCATCTCTAATAAAAATAGAAAAACTAGCTGGGCCTTCTGGCAGAATCCTGTAGTCCCAGCTACTAGAGAGGCTGAGGCAAGGGGTTCACTTGAGCCTAAGAGTTTGGGGTTGTTGTTATGCCATGGCACTCTACCCAGGGGAACAGAGTGATGAGACTGTCTCAAAGAGAAAAAAAAAAGAGAGAATATTTCCAAAGTTAAACACAACCTTAAGTTTAGTTAGCAGATTTCTAACATTAATTTTTTTCATGAAGTTTCTCATCTGAATGAGTTTTCATATGTTTGGTAAGGGATGCATTTTGTTTGAAGGCTTTCCCACATTCATTACATTCATAGGGTTTTTCTCCAGTGTGGGATCTCTGATGTATAACAAGCTGTGACTTTGCACTGAAGGCTTTTCCACATTCATTACATTCATAGGGTTTCTCTCCAGTATGAGTTCTTTCATGTACAATGAGGTGTGACTTTTGACTAAAGGATTTCCCACACTCTTTACACTCATACGGTTTCTCCCCCGTATGAACTCTCTGATGTTGAGTAAGGCCTTCAATTTGTTTAAAGGCCTTCCCACATTGATTACATTCAAAGGGGCTTTCACCTGTATGAGTTCTTGTATGGTAGGTAAGAGATGAGCTATGTCCAAAGGCTTTTCCACATTCATTACATTTATAAGGTTTCTCCTTAGTATGAGTTCTTTGATGTATAATAAGGTGTGACTTCTTGCTGAAAGCTTTCCCACATTCATTACATTCAAAAGGTTTCTCACCTGTATGAATTCTCATATGTTTAGTAAGGGAAGAGCTATATTTAAATGCTTTTCCACATTCATTGCATTCATATGGTATTTCACCTGTATGAGTTCGTACATGTTCAGTAAGAGATGAGTTATACCTAAAGGATTTTCCACATTCTTTACATTCATAGGGCTTCTCACCTGTATGAGATCTCACATGTTGAATAAGGTTTGAGCTGTGTCTGAAGGTTTTCCCACATTCAGTACATTCATACGGCTTTTCACCAGTATGAATTCTTAGATGGTCAGTGAGAGCATGTTTATGTCCATGGGCTTTGCCACACTGAATACATTCATATGGTTTTTCTCCAGTGTGAGTTCTCTGATGCACAACAAGGTGTGACTTTTGGCTAAAGGCTATCCCACATTCATTACATTCATATGGTTTCTCACCAGTATGAATCCTCTGATGGTCGATGAGTCCTTGTTTATGGCTGAGAACTTTCCCACACTGATCACATTCATAGGGTTTCACACAAGCTTGAGTTTTGCCATGCTTAATAGATGAGCTAGGGCTGGATAATTTCTCATGTTTCTCTCCAGTTTGAATTTTGTCCTGCTTAGCACGAGATGAGCTACGATGGCATAATTTCTCCTGTTTCTTGCCAGTTTGTGTTTTTTCGCACTTACCAGATGAGCTATGGTTGGATAATTTCTCACGTTTCTTTCTAGTTTGATTTCCGATTTTCTTTTTATCAGATAAGCTATGTCTGAATGACTTCTTGTCTTCTTTAGCTGTATCAGGTTTCTTTTTTGCACAGTTTCTTATGTGATCAGGTAAATCTACACTCTGTTTCAAACTCGTTCCATGTGAATCAAATTTAAGAAGCCTTTTTTTTGAAGGAATACATTTTGTACTTGTGTTATTCTTTTTCCCAAGTGAACCACACTCATTGCCCTTATTTTTTGTCAGAGTTTTCTTCTTGGATGCAACTTCATGAAGGGGTTTGTTTGGGGATTTCTGGTTACTCTTAAGCTGATCATCATCCTGCTGGACTTCTTCTAAAATGGAATTCAATGAGACATTTTGGTGAATTTTTATATTCTCACATTTTAGAATAATGTATAATGTAAGAAATGACCTGTTGTTCGGTTGAATCTTTATTCAAGTCTAGTATCCCCAAATGAATGAAATATCAAGGGCAAATGACCCTGTCCTCTCAGACTTGGTGAGGAAAATGCTGTAGTTAAACAAAGGAAAGAAAAGTGACAATACCAATTAGAAACAGTTTTGGCTGTTTATAAATATGAATTTGCAACCTGGGATAGAACAGGAAATAAACACAAGAAGCAGTGAATGGAGAATAGATGAAGTCAAAAGAGTTTATGGTTGTAGTTTCTACTTCTTGAGGTTTCTCTTCAGCCCAAGGTTTGACAGTATTTGGCTACTCAAGCCTATACTATATTATTTCAGCTCTCCATGGTCACAGCTGGAGACACAGCTGCTGAAACCAAGATATCCAATAAGATTTTTCCTCTTAAAAATTTAGACTCCAGTTAGTCTCCACTCCATGCTTAAATCTTATTTATTTATTTATTTATTTTTGCAGTTTTTGGCCAAGGCTGGGTTTGAACCCACCACCTCTGGCATATGGAGCCGGCGCCCTACTCCTTTGAGCCACAGGTGCATGCTTAAATTTTAAAATGATATAGAACAGGTACTAGCAAATCCATATTTTCCCCTGGATAAATAGAAATCTCATCTTTCCAGAGAATGAAGCATATACAAACAGAGAAGCAGAAATACAAGACTGTGTGTCCTCAAGGAGATTATCTGCATAATTTCAATTTCCAGTGGCTTCCCAATTCTTGATTCTAGACCCTGGTGAAGTCTGTCTGATGCCCTTAGGTTATACGAGATATACTCCTGTCCTTATCACAAATTCCTCTATTCACTTAAGCTAGCTAAAGTAAACTTTTGTTATTGTACTCAAAGAGCCAGGAAGGGGAAAATAAGTGAGTCTACTAAGAAGTACTGAAGAGCTATAAAGTAGATGAGGGAGTAAGTAGGAAAGGGTCCCATCTTTCCACTGCTCAAGGTGAATTTTTCTTGTGACATATCTTTTCCTGCTAGCAGATCTTTTTCTTTCTATAGCTATAACCCCTGACCAATTAAATAATGATATCCCTGTACTAAAAAAAAAAAAAAAAGGCTACAGTTTCTCTAAGCTCCCCAATGATGTTATCAAATGATAAAGTTCACGTTAATTAGCTCGGCAAACAAACTTTACATTGTCTGATTTATAGTGTACATGCACACCTGTTATCCAACAGTTCACTGTGGAGTACATCTTTGTCCTTGTCAGGTGATTCTAATTGCTAATTACAAATTTTAAGTTATTCTCAGCTCTAAATGGTTGCTCACATTCTTTCCTCCATTCATTATATAATTATACATTTTGAGATGTCTTCTCAACCCGTTTCCCTTCTCTGAGACCACTACCCACAGTGAACAGTGTAGGCAACCATGTTTGTACCATATGATCCAACTTCTGGCTGAAAACAATCAATTAGACAGTGGTAAATACCAGAGTCCAGTAATATTTCTTCTCCTAAAAATCTGGAACTGAAATAAACAGGCTTCTGTTAGCTAGTTACAGATATTACATGTATAAAAACCTGCAGGTAGACATGTGGGTACTTAGGGGAAGAGTCATCTCTTGATGTGCTTCCATTGCTAGAAATGGTGATTTAATAAGTTTGAATTAGTTCTTAATTGTTTACTATAAGTAAGTTAGGAATTGAATTAAGAAAATGATTGCAGATGGGCAAAGGGAAAAGAGACAGGAGAATAGTGGGTCAGAGAAAAACATGTACACATTCAGACTACAGGGTCAATACTAAGAAATCCAAAGTCTGTTACAAGAGTGACAGCTTGATCCCTGGCCTTTAAACAAGGAGACTGTCTTGCTAGGGCTTCATCTCTCCCCCAGTGTGACTGGGCTTCAAGGTCTCTATCCCCTGAGAGGCCAGGCTCATGCAAGTGGGAGTGCTCTCTGGAGGGAGTGAGCACAGGGCGTTGGGAAGATTTATGAGAGAAGATGAAATGCGCTAGAAATAGTGCAAGCACTTTGATCTCAAAAGGAGAGAAAAAGATTCTTGGGGAGGCAAGGGGAAAGTGTCCCTCCCCTCCTATTTCTCAGTATGGCACCTCCAGACTGCTCACAAAGTTTCCCAGGGGCTTAATTGCTCATCTTGGGATTTGTGTGTGTGGTCTAATTTGGGTTAATTTTGATGACATGCTCCTGGACTGTATTCCTCTCCCAGGATCTGTTTGTGTTAGGATAAAAAATGACTTAGAGTGATGAAAGTAAGAAGTTAATCAGTGCAATTAACGTAGTTAAAGAAATAGTTTGGTTAGAAAATACAAGCCCATTAAGAACCATGACGTAAGGATTTAGCCTCTCCCTGTTTAATGTATGTAATAAAAATGAAGCTAACCCGGAGCTAGGGGCTGCCACCAGTCTTCATCCTTGGAGGTGGACAGTCCCTCAGCCAGTTTTCAAAAACTTTACTCTTGTGTCTTTGAATCTTCATTTTTTCCTCACCCTTTTGTCTCTGCCAGTCACTGGGAAAGAACTCACGGTATAGTTTGGGGCTGGTCCCCAACAAAAATCTATAAACTTAAGACCCAGAGCTGCTATTTGGAGGAGGCCTTTTTCAGAGATTATATATATATATAAAGCTTCAGCATGAGAATTAAACAAAGTCATAGAGAAAAGCAAACATATGAGTTTCTATACTCCTAAGAAAAGCAAAAAAAAAAGAAAGAAAGAAACAAAGAAAGAAAGAAAGAAAGAAAGAAAAGCAAACGTATGAGTTTCCATACTTACAAGACTTCACAAAGAACGACAAAGTGAATAGCCATTTTGGTGGTAAAAGAACATTACATAGAGAAAGTGAAAACTGGACTCAAACAGAAAAGAGTTATCTGAACAGTTAAGAAATACTGACTTTTTATTTTTTATTTCTTTTCTTTTCTTTTTTCTTTTTTTTGAGACAGAATCTATGTCACCCTTGGTAGAGTGCTGTGACATCACAGCTCACAGCAACCTCCAACTCTTGGGCTTAAGCAATTCTCTTGCCTCAGTCTCCCAAGTAGCTGGTACTGCCCGGCTATTTTTTGTTGCAGTTGTCATTGTTTAGCTGACCTGGGCTGGGTTGGAACCCACCAGCCTCAGTGCATGTGGCTGGCGCTGTAACCACTATGCTATAGGCGCCAAGCCAGAAATACTGACTTTTATGGGGAACATTTAAAAGATTGATTTCTACAGACTAAGAGATCAGTTTTGGAATGTTTAGATATAGTAGGAAGCTTAGAGAAGTGTAGTTGCTAGCTACTTTTTCACTTAGGAAATTTTAACTCATGCAATGCCCTGGGAGAAAGGGTATAACAGAGACTTATAGGTAGCATGACAATGCTGTATCTTCCAATTCCCAAGGACGATAGGGAAAATGGAGGCAAATTTCCTTCTGGGAAGAAAGGAATGAAACTCAAACCTTTCTTCTTTACATGTAACATTGTAAGAACCTCTTGTAATGATGGCTTAGACTGGTTACAACTGATATCTGCCAGCAGGAAAAGATAAAGCACTACAAAAGAAACATACCATGAGGGAAGAGAGAAGAATTTGAACTAGTTAATTGATAAAATAATAGGGTAAGTGCTAAGGAAGATTTGGGTCTGCAGGAGTATTAGATTAAGGCTGGAGGCTTTTCCTGAATTTGAGATAGTAAAAAAAGTACATTTTAAGCTAAAACAACTCTAACTTTAGAAATTTAAGTATTGAGCTCATTAGGCCCAATAAATCATTGGAGGGAACAGAACAGTCTTTCCTTGAAGAACCTCCAACTACTAGCTAGACAAGAACCTGACCGAAAAAGAGGTTACTGTTGCAATGCCAAAGATGTACTGAATGACTCAGGATTATTTTTCAGTTGTAACACCAAGTGTCAGCAAGAAAAAGTAAGAATAATCAAAACTGCAGCCATTACTGGACAAAGCAGAAATTCCATGGAATCTCTTCATTTTGTATTTGAATGGCTGGTTCTTCTATTCTCAGGAAATTCAGGGGGTCCTGAATAATTCAAAGTCAAAGGAAACTTAAAATGATATAGGGAATATTCAGCTAATATGGGAAATGTAGTGACAAATAATAATTTAATATTTTAATGCTTGGTGGTAACACTTAAGATGAATTAGGAAAAAAATGGATGTAACGAATCTGCCTAAGAATTGGAGCAATTTAGTTATGAGATAATCAAACCTGATCTGGTGATGTCAGATGAGAATTGAGGAAGAAGAAACCCCCCCAAAACAAAAACTAAGGTGAGGATAGTGACTTTATAGGCAACAGGCCAAAAATCCTAAAATATCTAAAATATCTAAATCCAAATATCTAAAAATAGGGAAGGTGAAAGAAACCTCTAATTTAGAAAGATAAAGCTTTCAATTTCTGATACCTTAATAATGAGATGGAATGTAAGCAGATCAAATATGAGTGTAAGACAAAGGAAGCAGAGATGTCCACTGGGAAGTCACCAGGATAAAAGAAATAGCTTGTATTTGCATATTTGCATAATGAACAATCCCTTTGAGAGAAGTATAATAGCAAAAAAGAACAGTTGGTAGTAGACAAAACTTTAGGGACAACTCAACAAAGTGAGAAGGTAGAGAAGCTGATGAGTAAATGGTAAAGAAGTACTTAAAGGATAAGATCTGATTCAAGTTGTATACTTCAAGCAAGGTGGACTAGCACTTCAGGTTAATCAAAACTATTAAAGTGTATATTGGAAGGTAAGCAGTGGAGACAAAGTCAGAAATTTAGATTGAGGCATGAATTCTATGGGATTTGACTGCAGGTGAGAAAAGGGAGATGATGATGTGTTATAGACCACAAGCCTATGGCATTTCTCAGTGAAAGGATGGAAATGAAAATTAACTCAAGGCTCGGCGCCTGTGGCTCAAGCGGCTAAGGCGCCAGCCACATACACCTAAGGTGGCGGGTTCGAATCCCCAGCCCGGGCCCACCAAACAACAATGATGGCTGCAACCAAAAAATGGCCAGGCGTTGTGGCAGGCGCCTGTGGTCCCAGCTACTTGGGAGGCGGAGGCAGGAGACTCGCTTGAGCCCAGGAGTTGGAGGTTGCTGTGAGCGTGATGCCACGGCACTCTACCCAGGGGGATAGCTTGAGGCTCCGTCAAAAAAAAAAAAAAAAAAAAAAGAAAATTAACTCAAGGCAGAAACATCATGCCAAGAGTTTGGAAAGAGGACAGATCTAAGAATATCTGAACACATAGGTGAGAATTTGGTCCCCTAGGGTGTTGGAGTATGAGTGAAGGAAAGGAGAATAATTAAGGAAATCCCATTCCTGTTTATCTTATTCAAAGCAGTCCTTTTTAAAAAATCCTCCCTTTTCTTGGAAAGGGAGGATTTTTTAAAAAGCGATACAAAGAACAGCTAAGAGAGATCATCACTTTTCTGAAAACTGAGCAATGGGGCACATGGATAAGGACAGATTGCCAGATGGAGGGTTAGTCAGGGATCTGAGGGCCTGGTACCAAAGGCTTGGAGCCCTGGTTTTCACCATTTTTCTTACCACAACCTGACTAGCATGATATACTGTATTATTGTTCCCAGTGGAAGGAGTACACCCCCCCAACCCCTCCCAAATACTTGGCCTTTAGAATTACAGCACCATTCCCAGTGGAAGGATTATACATTCCTACCCTGTTAAACTCAGGAGTGGAGAGGTAGCCTGGTCTGAACAATAAAACATGAGTCAAATGGGATATCCACAGTTCTAAGAAGTGATTTTAAGAATTATGGAGTTCTACTTATCCTTTTTTCCCTCTGCTGTAAGACCAGAACTTGTCAAATGCAGAATGCTCTGTCAGAGTAAGTCATCAAATAAAGATAATGTGGGATACCTGGGCTGCAGCTTGAGCAAGAAATGAAACTTTCTTGTTGTAAGTCCCTAAGATTTGGGGGTCACTCAGAGTAAAACTTAGTCTAATCTGACCAATGCAAATGCTATAACCAAACTTCCTTAATTAACACTAGTTCACTACTATAGTGAACCTCATATGAGAACCTCTCTTGTGGACAAATTCCTAGAAGAAAGAAATGTTACAATCTCTAAGGTTAGAGAATCTTTGTAATTTGAACTCTTTTCTCTAGGAGAGTCTGTTATTTTTTCTACTTATATTTCCTAGTTAAGAAAGAGGGGTCTAGCATCTTTAAGATGAATTTAAGAATAAATTATTCTTTGAAGAATTCCAAAGTTACTACCAAGAAATTAGAAACTTACTTCCATTGATTCCTATTTTCTTGGATCTTGCTATTTTATTGGAATGACCTTGATTGGGCCTTTTTCCCTTCCCCAACCATGGTTCTTCTCCTTTTTCCAACTTGGAGATCATGTCTGGTTTTGGAGCTTGAAATCCTGCTCATGAAAAATGATGAAAATTAAATGTCAGAACAACCATCTCAGAAATCAAGCCCTATGATTTGTACTTCAGGGCCTTTAAAGACTAAAGAATACATGGCTTCTGAAGGCTCACAAAGTATGTGCCCATGTACTTCAACCAAGTCAACCTTCCATCTTGGAGGCAGGGTACAAATCCTGCCTAATACCCAAAAGGGATTAAAACTCTTTGACCCACAAACATCAAGGCCAAACTTACCAAAGACTTCAGAGAGTATCACAATGGACTCATTTTGAATTATGAAGGTAATTATCCTTACCCATTGAGGCTAGGTTGCTATAGTTCTCTAGCATTACATCCTTGTACAGGTTCTTCTGAGTAGGATCCAATCGCTCCCATTCCTTCTGGGTAAAGGCCATAGTCACATCTTTGAATGTTACTGATCCCTGTAATAGCACATTCCTGTTTAGTCCAATGTTATCCACATTCAGTGAGTGATTTGGGCAAGATAATATTTGTTCTTACCTTTACCACTCACTGTCGATCATGACGTTTTACAGCATACCTGCACTCTACCCTATTTTGCATTTTTTAATGCAAAACCATATTCAGAAATATCCCCATTGTGAATTTGTTTATTCAAGAGGATAAAATAAAAATATCAGAAAGATGATTAACCAAAATAATAATAATAATAATTAGTCTTTATCTTTTCTTCCACAATAATGAATATTGAAAGGCTGTGGAGTAATATTTATAGCTTACAGAGTTCTGGAGGGTAAGAAATTGAGACTCTTGGTTTTTATGACTAGTTAAAAAATCATTTATGTCTGGCAACAAAGGTAACATAATTTAGGCATGTAACAAAGCAGAAGGTACACTAGTTATGGACTATAGAAAAAAGAAAAACGGTGGGGGGAGATGGAGAGAGGAGGGAAGCAGAGAAGGAGGAAAAGGAAGAAAAGAAAAGAAAGATTTCTTCAAAAGAAAGAAAGGGGAATAGAACAAAGATTTCAAGATTAGGAAAGACAATATATGTGAGAGCTATGAATAACAAAACCATAAAATGTCTAGTTAAAGTTTTTTTTTTTTTTTTGAGACAGAGTCTCATTATGTCACCCATGGGTAGAGTGCCATGGCATCACAGCTCACAGCAACCTCAAACTCTTGGGCTTAAGTGATTCTCCTCCTCCCAAGTAGCTGGAAATACAGGCGCCCGCCACAATGCCCAATTATTTTTTGGTTGCAGTTGTCATTGTTGTTTGGCAGGCCCAGGCTGAATTCAAACCTGTCAGCTCCGATGTACGTGGCTGGCGCCTTAGCCACTGAGCTACAGGCCCTGAACCATGTCTAGTTGAAGTTAAGTAACTTGATAATGTGTTTGTGCAACTGTTATGAAAAAATAGTAACATCAGAAAGTATGATATAAGAAAAATAAGCAGAACTATAAATGGGAAGAGTTTGGGATAGGAAAGAAATTAAAGTATGCTAAAGTTCTCTTATTAGGCAGGTGACAGGAGGATGACACTGCTACTAAAGAATTTTAAACTAATAAATATACATCCAAACATGCTTCTTTAACATTTAAAGATAATCCCCAACCCCACAGATTACCAGTCAATTATCTACATATGTCACCAATGTAACCCTGCAGACCTCTAGTCACTGACTCCTAATAACCTCCCATCATTGATTGCACTGGCCTCCCAATCACAGAGCCAGGACAGCCTTCCATAATCACTGAGCCTATAATTCTAAAATGACTGAATCCAACAAACCTCCCAATTGCTAGCAGTGGCAGATCTCCCAATCAGTTTCTCCACAGGCACTAATCACATATGCACATTGGTTCCTTAACCTTTGATATCCACTAAACACATGGGTCTATCTCCTATATGATCCCAACTCCCTCCTCCTATCAATCCCCAATCACTGATACCAAACTCTCAGCCAATGGCCTTTATAAAAACCCTAATCACTGTCAGCAAATTCCACTCCACCTTCAACCTCTTCAGCAATTCCCTTCACCTGCATCCTTGAACTAAAATCTACCAGTCTCCCTCAGATCCTGCTTTCCTATAAAGTAGTCTCAAGTGGAGGTTACTTGACATTTTTCTTTCTTTTTCCCACGATCCATATACCTCAGTGTCTAAAGATGAGACAACTGATAACTTTCAACCATTTCTCACTCCTCCTTCAAAATCCCTAGCTTGTTTATACATACTCATGTATGATGATTTGGTAGAGAGACTCATAGGACTTAGCATACAGTTGTATTCACAGCTACAGTTTATTACAGCAAAAGACACAAAGCAAAATCAGTTGGCATGAAGTTTGGATGAAGTCCAGAGGAAACCAAGCACAAGCATCGAAGAGTTCTCTCCCAGTGGAATAACAGAGGACACGCTTAACTCCTCCCAGAGCATGTTGTGACAATGAAATGTTATCTACCAAGGAAGCCCACCCAAGATTCAGTGCCCAAGAGTTTCACTGGGGACTGGTGGTGTATCAAAAATTCCAGACTTCCAGAAGGAAAGCAAGTGTTCAGCAGAAAACACTTTGTTCATATACTCTAGACACAGAGAGCCTTTTCAGTTCTGGGGATGGTGGGAACTCCCACAAGACCTAATATCCCAGATGTCAGCAAAAAGTCAACTTTGCAGGCCAGGTGTGGTGGCTCATGCCTGTAATCCTACCACTCTGGGAGACCGAGGCAGGTAGATTGCCTGAGCTCAGGGGTTCAATACCAGCTGGAGCAAGATCAAGACACCCATCTGTAAAAATAGCTGGCATTGTGGTGCGTGACTGTAGTCCCATCTACTCAGGAGGCTGAGACAAGAGGATCCCTTGAGCCTAAGAGTTTGAGGTTACTGTGAACTGTAATGCCATGACACTCTATTGAGGGCAACAAAGTGAGACTCTGTCTCAAAAAAAAAGAAAAAAAAAAGTCAACCTTGCAGGCAGGCCTAGGAATAGCAGTCCCCCGCCACCACCGCTCCCCTCCTTTCCACTGCCAATAATCTTTTCTTCTACCCAAACTCAGCCACCTACTTATTCCTCATCCACACTTACATCTTGCCATCACTATACCATTTAGTGGTCTCCTCTTAAAACATTCTATCCTCTGAGCACCATTTCCTATCCTACCAGCTCACCTTCTCTAAAACTTCACTCCAATAATTCTCCAAACTCACTGAGCCCTCTGATCCACTGATCCTAACCACTTTTCACAATCTTTTCTCTTCATAGCTTTGCTTGGTTGCTTTCTTGTTTAGTTTCTCTGGTCTAGTACCATATATACTCCATTGAAAACTTTAAAGCTTTAACATCTTTGCCCATCTCCTGCTGTTCTCATCTATCAAATCCTCAACCTTGGTCAAAACCACCTTTCTTCTTCTTCTTCTTCTTCTTTTTTTTTTTTTTTTTTTTTGCGACAGTCTCAAGCTGTCACTTGGGGTAGAGTGCTGTGGCATCACAGCTCACAGCAACCTCAATCTCTTTGGCTTAAGCGATTCTCTTGCCTCAGCCTCCCAAGTAGCTGGAACTATAGACGCCTACCACAACACCCAGCTATTTGTTTTTGTTGTTGTTGTTGCAGTTGTCATTGTTGTTTTAGCTGGCCCAGGCCAGGTTTGAACCTAACAGCTTTGGTGTTTATGTGTGGCGCCCTACCCACTGAGCTACGGGCACCACCCTGACTTTTTCTTAATCCCTGCCTGCAAACTTGCAGCTGAATATTGCAATTAGACTCACTTTAAATTTATAACATATATCTCAAATAGGCTTTGAAGTCAGCAAATCTTACTACTTATCCCTGGAAAATTAATTCACCTTTCCTCTTTCAAATATGATCATTTCAAACCTTCTCTTCTTTTTCTCTGAAATCTTTAACATCCTTTCCCACTCTCAGGCTGATAAATTTCCCTTTTATTTTAAAGAGAAAATAAATGCAAATGGACAAAAAATTACCTTGCCTTGTTGACACTAATTCCACCATCCTGTATCCAAACTCATATATAGGGTGTTCATAAATTTTGTGTTCAGTTGTTTTTTTTTTTTTTTTGAGACAGAGTCTCAGTATGTGGTATGTGCCATGGCATCACAGCTCACAGCAACCTCAAACTCTTGGGCTTAAGCGATTC